GAATTCTTTGGAGTTTGTATCATGCTACTGTTGTTAATTTACCAATACTGTAATACTAAAGTAGTAGTTTTTTGTTTTTTTTAATCTTTTCCCAACTCAAACAATTACCTCTTTAATATATACATTTTAAATGTATGGCCTCTCAAATCAATTAAATAACACCTGTAAATGCTTAGAATGCTGGACCCCCACCGGGGTTTTGGCCCTGGACCCCGGGGGCCCTTGGCGGCCCCTTGGCCCCAGCCAATGGTGCTCGCAAGTGCCCTTTCAGTATCAAAAAGAACCCCCCTACCAAAATCATGGCTACGGGCTTGGTACATGTGTCTAATGTATGTATATATATTATATGTATGTGTGTGTATATAGGTGTATGTAGGTGTGTGTATGTGTATGTATATGTACGTGCATGCACCACACACACATACCTCCTTGGTTAAGTTAATTCTTGTCCTGAGAATGGCTACCCTGTATTTATAAATTTGCGTTCTACTTGTAAGTCTGAACTGCAGGGAGATTGTTCCCTATTCTCCCTAATCATTCTTTTTTTTTCTTTTTTTTTTGTTGATTTTGTTGGTTTTAATTTAATTTGCGTGGCCTTCAATTGGTCAGCTGGACATTCCCCCACCCATGTTTTTCTATTGGTATACCAATGGAGGAAATATATTTATATATACTTAATATATTTCCTCCATGGTATACCAGAGCTCATGATCATACATTTGGCTTAATATCTTAAAAACCCAACAAATTGTGAGAGGTTTATGCCCATTTCTTTTAGCGGTAGCATTAACATATTCAACATGTTAATAATAATAGCTTATCGTTTTTTTCATCATTGTAACTATATTAATGTTCATTATTATTTTCACACTTAAAGGCAAGTCAATTAAATCGAATTAAAAAAAATCTGTTCAATTTATAACATTACAAGAATTTTAATTCATGATGTTCTGCCTTCCCAAAAAAAAAATGTAAAAAAACATACACACATACACATCTAACTAAAAACAGTACATACTCAGAAAACATACACATATATACATATACGTCTAAATACATACACATAAAGATAAAACACTAATCAGGACTACTTCACACGTGTGCCTTTCATGATGGTTAACCACAACGAATTGTCGTTGTTTACAATCTGCCAAACAATCAATCCATTCATCATTCAGTACACATAGTTTGGCAAAAATGCCGAGAGTAAAATTTCTGCGAATACAATGCATAGGCCTAGGCCTACTATACAATTATGGGTGGCAACGGGCCGGGTGGCAAATGGCCGGGTGGCAACGGGCCTACGGTGGCAACGGACCGGGTGGCAACGTTCCGGGTGGCAAAGGGCATATGCTGGCAACCGGCCTGGTGGCAAAAGGCCGGGAAGCAAAAGGCCGGGTGGCAAAAGGCCAGCTGGCAACGGGCCTAGGTGGCAAAAGGCCGGGTGGCTAAAGGCCGGGTGGCAACGGGCCTAAGGTGGCAAAAGGCCGGGTGGCAACAGGCCTATGGTGGCAAAAGGCCGGGTAGCAACAGGCCGGGTGGCAACAGGCCAGGTGGCAATGGGCCTAGACCCACCATCGTCAAGTTATGTAGGCATATACATATATATTTTATATAATATGTCTATTTATAAAGATATATATGAGCCTGCATATATGGTATATAGATATACATTTTAATGAACATGATGATGTGCACTAACAATATTATATTAATTGCTCGCTTACTAGCATTGGTACCTATATATTTATATATACAAAATTATAAAAGACAACACTAGGCCTAATGTTTATGGGGAAACCTGCCAACAACCGTTCAAAATGTACATTCCAAAAAGGCCTGTATATAAATATATAATATATATTAGGTGTGTCAAGAATAAAACTCGTTTGTTAGCACAGAAATAAATGTATTTAAAAGAAATAAGATATTGAATTGTTAATCCAACGACCAGACGTGTATGTAATCTTTGACAGTTGGTCATGATCAAAGATATATATATATATATATACATTATATATATATATATTTATTTATTTATTTATTTATTTATTTATTTATTTATTTATTTATTTATTTATTTATTTATTTATTTATTACACGGAAGGTGCATCAGCACTCATCATTATATCAGTTTCATTAACCCGTAGCCAAAAATGTCAACTCAGCTGATCAATCAATAGTGAATAATGGCAATCGGAGAGCAACAAAAGTCGTAAGAATAAAGAACTTCACTGGAAACATTGCTTTACACCTCCACTCCTAATGATAGTACACAGAAGAAAGCCATCGGCATTTTAAAATTATAATCGATCTTATTTCATGTAGATGTACTTCAAGTTATTTTTTACTTTTATGTTCGCCTTTGTCTATGTTGTTTACTTCTTTAATAACAGTAATACTACTAGCTTTAAATAACACTTTGTTTTGGTCTTCTTGAAGTATGTTTGATAAAATAAGTAAATTTTATTTCGGTGCCTTTGGCGAAGAACTAATTTTGTCTGAAAGCTATGATAAATGTTCCTTATCTAGAGTTAACATTTTCAGATTTGTTCTCAGTATAGAAAAAATATTTCTTCTAAGTACATACAAACGTAGTGTTTAGGCCCTGTCTCTTATACACATCTAGATGTGTATAAGAGACAGTATATATATATATGGCCTATATATTTGTCGAAAATAGTCCTACACAAGTTTCATAGACTCTACTAAACCTGTCTCTTATACACATCTAGATGTGTATAAGAGACAGTAGTTATACTTATATAAATATAATTTATTAGAAATAAGATAATCATATTTTATAGTTCTTCATTTTTTTTATATATTCAATTGAACAATGGTTTATCTTGATAATTTTAGAGTTTTTAACAGTATAGTATAGTTACTTTTCTATAAATGAAATTAAATAAAAATTCCCAAAAGTAAAAAAAAAAAAGTACTGAAAGAATAACTTTACTTACTTTTTGCTAATTAAAATCGTAGGATGTCCTAACATCGACTGGAAAATTCAATTGAGAAACAGAAATATTACGCGATATTTTCTGGCGTGGAAAATCCTTTCGAATGCGTAGTTGTGTTGCGACGTAAAGACTGATTAGACTGCTATTGGGAGAGTGTGAGTTGCCAGTTGGTAATCGATTCCGACGCTAAATTTACCGGCTAACAGACATGCGCAGATATATCGCACCGTCTCATGAGTTTCTCAATTGATGCAGGTTTCTTGTGGGGAAATTTACTCTTGTTGTAGTTGTGTGAGAGCAATGTTTTAATTAATCACGCCAATCACTAGGTCTTTTCACTCTTGTATACGAATGAAGCATTTAAACGTCATGTGGAGCTCTCGAGGTTTTTTTTTTTTTTTCAAGAGGCTCGTTTTTTTTTTATAACCCGGCAAGTGATATACTGCAAGAAGTGGCTTTCTTTGGCGATCAATCGCGCGCTCACCGTTTTTGTTGTGCAAATTATCCTAACCAAATTAACGTAATGACGACTGCCTTAAAGCTGACCGTTTAATACAATTCAATTTGTCAGAATGGATGTTGCTGCGATGATTCAATTTAGCCGGCTTGATGATATTTTGTTGTGAATGCCATGGTGATCGGATACTTCGACGCAATGACTGCGGGGATTGCTAGGCATTGCTTGTAAAAAGCTCCCTCGCCACAGCAATACCACTGATCGTAACACACATAATCAGTGTTTGCAAATTACTTTAGGCCTAGCTATATCTCCTAACTGATTAAGGACATCTGTAAATTCCACGATGTGATTACGTTAAGCCATGGTTGAATTCTATCATCCAGCTTGGTTGCTCTAAAAAGCGGCAAGAACTCAAAACCTCAGTAACTGTATATCTATCCCTTTTTACTGTTTGGACTATCACTTGCTTTAGAGGCGAAATCGGATTTGGCCTATTAAGCAACTTTATGTTTACGGTGAATTGTAGTTATTAGCACGCAGAAACTTTACACGACGTTATTAGATGGCCTCTGCCTTTCGACGAACGCATTTATACACTGCACCAGATAAATCAAAAGAGAGATATTGACAATTCGCCTAGAGTGAGAGAACGGAAATAAAAGGCCAGGCATGTTAACAACATAAAACATCAAGTTGCAAATCAGTTTTGTAGTACCGAGTTTACCAAAATATTGTTTGAAGATACATTTCGTTATATTGTTTGACATTTCTTAATCTTATAGCTGAAAATTAATGTAAAATAAATGTTAATGTCATATGATACCTCCATCAAGGATACTTTTCATACAATTAAGATTTGGTCTGTATCCCATATTCTACATAAATCATTAGTGTGTATAAACTGCCAGGTAAATTTCAGCAAACCTAAATAAGTTGGTGCAAAGAAAATACGGGCAGCTGCGGAATCGTACCATTCCGAACCGCTAACGTTTGGAGCAAATATATGTTACATCGACAAATAATTATGTTAAATGTTATAGAGCAGAATTCTTATCGTTGTGTTGATTAAAAATTGAGTTGATGATAAGCACAACTGGAACAGCTGTATGCTACTATTTTAGAGACAAAAGCATCACACACACACATAGGCCTATATATATTGTGTTTTTTTATATTTTTATATTGTATTTAAGGTATATTAATATATATATATATATGGCCTATATATTTGTCTAAAATAGTCCTACACAAGTTTCATAGACTCTACTAAACATACATTATAATATATGTCAGGTAAGTACATCATGACAAGGACACTACACACTATATTGCTGAGGTCAATGGATCAAATGTCTATATAATACATACGTAAATCCCTGTGGGAGTATTTCATAATTTTGCAGATTGTAATATAGTACGTTGGCATTTCAACCTACACGGTACCTACTTAATCCTGGGTGAAAAGAGAACATGTATAGAAATACCTCTACCAAACACACAATTAAAGCCTGGTTCTCACGAGAGCCCTAGTATGCGGATCGGGAGCTAACCGTTAGCGCTAAACGTTAGCACCTGCGTGAGAACATCCGATCGGTTAGCGCTAACCGTTAGCAGTATCCGGATACTGCTAACGGTTAGCAAGCGCTATCGGTTAGCAAGCTGAGCGCGTTTCTATCATCAACCAGTCACACGTACGCGTTCACAATTTCCAGTTTCTTATTGGCCAGTGATTCGATCATCATNNTTTTTTTTTTTTTTTTTTTTTTTTTTTTTTTACTTTTTGTCTTGTCGGGTCAAATTGAGACAAACTTTGCTATTTTTATCCTAATTAATTAATTTTAATGTTGTCCACTTTGTTTATCATTTTATGTATTTGATTAATTAATTGAATAAATGTTAATTGAATTGAAATTGAAATGAATTGATATCCGGATCGCGACTTTCTCTTATGGACGCACGGCAGCTAACGGTTAGCAGAATCCAGACCCTGCTAACCGCTAGCAGCCGTGTGAGAACATAGCCTGAGTGGCCAGATTCATTTTGCAGGGGTACAGTGTAGGTGCAAAGACCCCAATAGCAGGAGTGACTAACACCTGGGCGTCGATGGGTTCGAATGTCAGGGCCCACGGAGATAGGGTGAATCTGTAGAAGCCCTTACATACATGGAATGTCTAATGTAAATTGATGATGATGATGATATTGTTTAAAATCAACTTTTTATGTAATAGCCTGGGCCCGCCTGTTGCCTCTCCCTCTAGTGGCTATGTTTCATAGGCCATGGTTCCCTTTATGAATTTTGATTTTGAGTATAAAGTTTGCCATGCATCTCTGTAGCTGTCTCTTATACACATCTAGATGTGTATAAGAGACAGATTTTACCATATATGATTTTTGTTGACGATTTTTTTTAATATTTTAATCGAACAACAAACAATACATAAATGTTGGTTTGCAAATACAGACTTTATATCCATCTATTTATAGGCTTATACAATTTTACAATTACCATAATTCATATTATAGTTGTAACACAAAACATATCAATACGTGATTGCTTACAAAGGACACATATCGGAATTAGCATCTCCCAGTGTCGTGTACAAAAGTTTACCTATTGGTGACAGAATACACAACTTGTAAAATTGAATGACTAGCTCGTTCATATAAATAAATACTTTTCTTTATTTAAAATACGTGCAGTAAAAAACAAACACAATTAGGAGTGTCACGTTACACTCATATATTTTATAAGTGCTTCACTTATTTGATCGCTACTAATTAATTCATTGCGTGTGAGATATTTAACTCAATGATAATATAATAAATGATTTACGCTATACAACATAATGCACAGAAATCGACGGTAAATAATGGCGCATATTGTACAGCTGTGTTTCTTCGATATTTTCTCAAGGCTAAGTTAGTACAATACGTAAGAATAAAGATTATTATTTGCGCCTTACATATACCGTAATTACTTTGGACATTGGAGTTTCTATACGTTTGTGATTTAGTAGTGCCGTAATATTACCAAAATGAGTAAACTTTAGTTACGATGCAATTAAGTATAATCGGCATATGGGTAGTAAAATTTGTTTACAACTTGCGGCAATGTTTTAATATCATTGACTATTATTAATATGGTTAGGTCAGTATTTGCGTCTTGTTGTCCGGGTAGCTCGGTGCTCTGTGTCTGGCTATTATAAATATGGATAGGCTTTTCATCGCGTCTTGTCCGGTAGCTCGTTACTGTAACAAGTCTATAGGCCAATTCAAAGAAAATTTATAGAGATGATCATCCTATGTCACTATTATCGTCCTACTGAGCCTATAATAAAAATGTGAAGAAGGTAACACTAATAAACATTAAGTGTATAATACACTATCATCATAATCATCATCAGTATATTCATTTCCTCCGTTTTGATTTGGATAAAAGCATGCACTTAATTGAACACAATTAGACAATATCGGCTTTAAGTACATACTTGATTTTTGTCGTATGCATATACAGAAGTATTCTTAGAAAATAATATGCAGAAACTCCACCAGCTGTGTATTAACTTGTTTAGAGCGAATTTACACACATTTCTTTATAGAAAGATTTTCTGCATTAAATTATAATAACAAACACTTTAATCTAGATTAGATATGCTAAAAAAATAACAATTGATATTTCTTATAAATGATATGAATGATTTTTCGTTTAAATGTTGATTTTACTTAGACATTTGGCTAAAAAAGTTATTGAAAATTGAATATTTCGTATAAATGGGTTTTTTCGTTAAATTGTTGATTATTCTAAGTTGATTGTGACATTACGGTACATTCTATGCCATGCATCTCTGTAGTATCTGAATGTTTTAATCATTTCTAGGCCTATTATTGTACTACTAATCATTTTCATTATGTCCTTCTATCGATAAGGGCATACAGAACCGTCCTACACATTAGGCCCTGTATCAGGGTTACCATTATTTGGTTTTTTAATCACCATATAGGCATTCAATGCCCTGCATGTACAAATTGAATGCTAAAAGTATGTCACGATAGGCACAATATCGGGAATATTTGGATATGTAAGTTGATACTCAGTTATTCCTGACTGTGTACATTTGCTCTCAAGTGTTATAATTAATATTGATGGCGTATCGGTTATTATCGATGTTTTATAGCGCCCTCTATAAAATCTAGCAAATCTTGCAACTATTTTTTTCAGATGATTCTAAGATTATGTGAGGTATCTCCGCTGTCAACTTTGCATCAACATTTACAAGAAATTCTATGCGAGTAAATATAACTGATGATGATACCTGTTTTCATTGAATGTTTAAATATCAGACCGCATTAGTTATCTCTGGTCTTTACATTTCACTCGAGTGTCTTTTTAAATATTTGGTAAATGGTCACCAATATAATACGTTAACGAGAACACGTGTTTGTTGGTATTATCTGTGATACTACTTTTTTATTAGGAAACGTTTCTATCAAAGCACGAATAGTATAATATAAACGAGCTAGGCAGCTGTCTCTCTTATAATTAAATTGATTTCTTTGGAATATTAAGTTTGATTGACTTTTGTTTTAGCATCATCTTGAATTACAAAAAGAGTGCAGAATATGGTTATTGTGCTCTACAATTGAGATGGCTACGGCTGGGGTTAGTTTTGCTATAATGCTGTGAAATACTCTCTAAGGTCTGTTTTATAGTATTCTCCAGCTCTCGGTTCCTGTGATTTGAGGTCTTAAACATAACCTACTTACAGTTTGTCTTATTGAACTGGGATTGCTCGCAGACACGACATATCAAATGCTCTCCTCTTATTTCTAGTTATTTTGATAAGTCCATACAATCGATCAACTTGATAATGTGATTAGTTGCCGTTAATGTAATTAACGACATCTCCGTGTCATCTTCTTGTCACTGGGTTGTCATCGTAGAGGGCGGAATCGTAAAGTAATGTGAGTTATGTCCGTCCCTAAATCTACACGCAATAAAATATTTTCAAACATAGACAAACGAGGCAATGGTATGTATACATAAATATTGTTTTAGTTTATTCTTAATAATTAAGCAAATCAAATTGTTATACTTTGCTGTATTTTTCTCAATTTTCTTGGTGGTAGAATATCTTTAAATTGGTCGTATTTACAACTTCTTGATCGTGAGGATACATTGTCATATCCATTTATATTAAATTAGAAAGAAAGAATGAAAGAATGGAAATAGGTCTACAATAGACGGCCTATTTCGTAAACTACACTATGTGGGAGTAGTCATAATAGTCTATAGAATTATTAGTGCTATAAATAGGTAGTAGGCCTACATTAGAGACTAGATTGAAACACAAAATGTCTGTGCACAAAGCGTAGGCCTACTAGAGTGGTACAAAATCTGTTATTGATAACCAGAGTCTCATTTCAAAAAATAGCACTTTGAGTTGTTTAACCATAATAACCAGTGGCTGCCAATCAAAAGTCGTGGAAGTGTCGAGACTTAAAATTATAACAATCAATATAAATCTTCTTTAAATCAATTATTCATTCCTTTACATGTTTGTCTAAATGATTGATGTATGGCTCGTGTACGCGATAAGCAGTGATTAATCAGCATTTAAGCACAGTCATCACCAACCAATCTGACTAAAATGCGTCACAATCGATCGCGAGCTAGCCGTTCGGGTCTTTGGGGTAACGCTCTTTCTCTTCCCTAACTACTTACATGTAATTGATTACTATTATTATATTCGTTTACCGGTTAACACCATTAATGGACCGCATTTCCTACACCTGATTAAACATGAACGAATTTGGTATGCAGTATTTGACATAAGCAACATAGACATCATTCTTTGACACATTATTCCATGACTACAGCAGTATTTAAAAAACAAGAGCCCCACATCAAGTTTTTTGTCTACAAATAGCAAATGACATTGACAAAACACTGTAGATGATACAAGTACGACCAAAGGGGAAAAAAAGAGAAGAGGGTGGCTATGAAATGATTCGAGTGAAACTTCGGACACCGTATAACCGTATAGTTGCTGTTGCTTTATTAATCACAACATTATTAATATTCCGA